TTTTTGGCTCCATTACCTATTATCTATACGCATGACATGCCAACCATCTCCGAAACATTTTAACAAAACACCATGGCCCCAGACTAGCCTCACTGAATTTACAAAATCACTTTCTAAATTTAAAAACTGTAACTAAAAAAAAAACCTGTTTAAATCGGTCCAGTAGTATTCATAGTAGTTACAGATGATAAACGGGCTTTCAGATACTTTTATATTTGTATGTTTATAGACTTGCATTTGTACAATCAGGTGTATACACCAATCCACACGAATGTAAGAGTTTCTGAGAAATCGACATCAATGATATCTTAACAAGGTAATGTTACAAACGCATTTGAAAATTTAAATACAAGTTTTGACATAAGATTTATAATTTGCTTTATCCAGGTTTTGGAACGAAAAACAAAAACTGTTATTTTTAAAATCGTTCTGTATTATTGGCAATAGTGTTGTCCGAAATCGGTCTTGGTCTTGCACTGAGCAATACCATGACCAAGATTGATAAAAAAAATTGTTTTAGTAAATAAAAATTAAGGTAAAATAGTTACTATATGTAAAGAATTGGTATGAACAGAATACTTTTGCATTTAACTCTTCCAGTTTTTTTCATTAGGGGATAGTTAGGTTTTCCCTACCTCAAAAGTTACAGCAATATCCCTATAGTAATAAGCTAATAGGTAACTTGTTCGAGACTCTTGCGCAAGTCCGTGATCAAGACTATGTGCCCAAGACCAAGACTCGCATTGACCTCGCATTTGGGCAATACTAATTGGCATTTTTACTGTCCATATCTTTGCTTTCATTTAGACCCAATACCAACAAGCAGCCCACATACTAGACTCTAAAGACAAGACCTCAATCGACGATACGGCCAGCTATACAGACTACTAAACAGAAAATCTAAACTTTCTATTGAAAAAAAAATTACTAATCTACAAGAAAATCCTGTACAACATCAAACGTATCCAATCCTTTCAATTTAAAGTCCTTCGAACAATAATTCATGCTCCATTCTAAGAAACTAACAAAACTCTACACCATGATCTTAATATCCCATTTGTCCTAGACCTTATCCCAGAAAAATTCTCCAAATTTCACCAGAACCTTACCTATCATACAAATCCCCTTGCACAATCTCTATCCAGCACCACTCATCCTTATAATATTTCTCGAAGGTTGAAGCGCCTGTGGCCCAGTGACCTTCTGTGAATAAGCATATGTTGTAGTTTTGGCAATGGCCAGATCCTCCACTCAAGCCAAGTATGTGTGATTAAAGCGCCTCTCCTTTGCCTCTACTGGTTCTTTATACCAGAAATGCGGCTCAGTGCGAGGCGCTGGGATCTCCTAGAGTCCTGCCTTTCCTTCCACGAGAGGGAAGAAAGGATTGGCTTGGAGTTCTTCTGAGTGAATGGATTCTGTAAATATTGTATAGTATGCATGTGTTTTAGTTGTTTTATTGATTAGTTCAGTTCTTTTGTTTATATACATTTACTTTTATTATTATTAGTTTCTGTATTATTTATTTTAATTTATTGTAAATAGAGTGTAAATGTGCCCTGTAATATTTCTGAATTCATTTGGAACAATAACTTTTTCCTTTGCTTCATTTTGAGTTGTAGCTCAAACAAACGACACATTTGAACCACGTGTAATTCATTTTTGAGATCTTCTAGCATGTTCTGGATTCCATTCTTTAATAATGCTGCATCTTCTAACTCTAATCTTTCTGCAGGTGGAGCGACAACCGCTACGACCCAGCACCCCAGAACATAGTGGAACCAACTAACAACCAGGAATGCCCAGAAGGGTACAAGAAGGCCAGAGGCGAATGCAGCAAACTCACCGAGAGGTACTAAAATTAAGTCTGAGAATTATTTTTTTTTGTATATATATATATATATATATATATATATATATATATATATATATACATATATATTTTTAAATTTTTTTTTGACAATTCTTTACATTTTTTTTATTTAGGTTCTTGTCAGTCAGCTTCTCGAATTTTGTATTAATATATGTTTATAATGCATACAGGCTGACGATTAATAAATGCTGACTTATATTTTAAATCCGACATTTTTACTATTACAAACAATATGGCTTTTTCTTTTAATCTAAATCAACTATGGCGGATCTGGTTATAGTCTTATCAGATATCGTCATATGTTATCTGAGAGCAGGCGATTGGTTAGTTTGTATTTTTTATTGGACCAAACTCCGCCTATCGTGTATAGAAAAGTGATGGTTAATTATATATTTACACACATATATATATATATATATATATATATATATATATATATATATATATATATATGATTATGAATTATTATTATTTCATTAATTGGATATTAAATAAATGTTGTAAAAAAGATACTTTCATATAATGTCGTTTTATTAATAAAAAATTTACATACACACGCTTCGGATATTTTCTCTATTATCAGGATTGTATTCTTTAATAGATATTGTACAATATTTTTATTTATCCCAGAAATAAAAAAGATATAATGATATTTAGGACAATTTTTAATATAAAAAGTGACCGATTGTTGAGAAATCACATTGGTTAAATATGTTTTCATTACGTCTATTTAATATCTGATGAGTAAATACAAATATACTTCAAAAGAGCTAGGGAAAAAATAATTATGTTATATTATGTGATATAGTGACATCCAATCGTATACTTATCTAAGGAGGGATGTGATGTTCGTTTAGCTTTTCTTTTTTGTCCCGATGATACCAAAATTCCCAAAACTTCGACGGGTTTTTTTATTCTTATACCTGCATTTTGAAGATATAAGACTGTGTGGCTGGAATTTTTTAAATCATAACCTTACATTGAATTTCTATTTCTAGGTGAGTTTTTACTGATTTAAATAAATTTATATTATTATATCTTATTTTTATTTTTTGTTTAAAACCATACTTTCGACTATAATACTACTTTCGACTAATAATACTATACAATACTTTCGACATTGCAATAGAGCCTGGTTTATCTGTATACGATTTAACGGAAATCCAGATTTTTCGAAATTTTTTTTTTAAATTTACTTTGATTGCTTTTGTTTTCTTAGCAATTATTTTTAGCTACCCGTTTATTTTATTGTTTTGGTAAAAATATTTCATAAATTTATCAGTAATAATCTTTTGTGTTATTCAGCAACTAGAAAACTTAAATTAAAATTGAAACAGAATTGGCAGGATTATCTATCATGCCTGTCAGCAGTAATAATAAATTCTAAAATTAATCATTATCTATCAAGCTTAACAGCAATATTTAAAAAATAATAATATCGTTAAATAGCAGTTTGAGAAATATTTACATTTGTTAAATTGTCACCTATAATTTGAAAAAAAATTGTAAAAAACAATCGACTATTTTGATGGCAATCAAGCGAACTAGTATATATCTACATATTCAATGAATTGTAAGTTTAAAGGGAATAATTTTATTATAAATTTTAAAACAAATAATTTTTTTTTATTTTAATTTTAAATTGTATTCGCATGGATTTTTCAAAATTATATGAAACTGTTTTTTTTTTTTTGTTTTTTTTTAATGTCTTCCCCTTCTTAGTCCATACGGGATTATCCCGGTGGAATTAGAAAAAACGTAGATCGTATACAATTACACTTGCTGCGGTTTGTTCCATATTTTCCCCTTTGTCCCTCATTCCAAAAATTCATGGCCCCGTCAATATTTGCCCCCCTCGGAAATTCAAAAACCCTTAAAAATATGCCCCCCTCAAAATTTTTATGGCGCAACTTAAACCATGAAACCCACTTCTGGGCACCCCTGAGTACATGGCAAGTTGCAGGCTTCGTAAACGAGTATTTGATTTCATTGGATACTGCATGTGATGGAGCTGGAAAAAAATAGAAAATATATATAAAAAATACACTGGCAGGCAAAAAATTCCACCCACATGATTTTTCCATGTTTTCATCTAAAAATATTTCTGTAAAGTTGTATTTGTATATAATACATGGTATTTGTAGATAATACTTAGTATTTATGGAATATTAAAATCTTTTTTACCTTTAATAATCAAAATTAGATTGGATAAAAAAGATTAGAGAAAAAAAATTGAAAAACGAACCATTATTATTCTAAAAGAAATTAATTACATCATCGTTTAGTTGCGCGTGTTTCCTTCTCTTGCCTTCACTACTTCTTAAAATCTCAGCCCTTTCTTTCTTCTTCTCCACACCCTTTCACGCCCATCTGGAGATCGAAGAGCGAATCTTGACTCATCTGTAAAAAGTACAGCACTCCATTCGTCCATAGTCCAATGGCTGTGTTCTCGAGCAAAAGCTAGCCGTGTTACTCTGTGAGTTCTGTTCAACTCTGGTCCTCTTACTGGACGAAAATCCATTAATCCATACTCATTTAATCTTCCCCGAGCGGTACGTTTAGAAATTTGCACACCTCTAACTTCTTCGAGCTGATGAATAGCTTGAACAACGCCAAGGTGCCGGTTTCGTAAAATTCTCTAAGTCAAAAACCGGTCATCCCGTGGTTCTGTTACCCTAGGCCGTCCAGAACCGGGCCTTCTATTGTAAGAACCAGTTTCCCGAAAACGCCTGACGGCGTCTCGTAAGGTTTCATATGGAACTCCGATGGCATTAGCTGCATTTCTAATGGAATGTCCATCATCAATAAGTGCCACACCACGCGTAACATCCTCAACACTAAGAGGCATTTTTAAACTTAATATTGAAAAAATTAAAAGCTGGAGACTAGGAAATGTGCTGCGAGAAACGGCACAGAACTAATGATACTGAATAAACATTTTGATTCCATAGAAAGTAAACATTGGAATCTAGAATCATTTCATTGAATTAAGGATTAAGGGTTATTGTTCTCTATATTAACATTACTAATTAAAAACAAACAAAAAGATTACCTATTTATTCATTAAAAACAATAGGCCAATCCAAAGCAGAAATATTTTTAGATGAAAACATGAAAAAATCGAGTGGGTGGAATTTTTTGCCTGTCAGTGTATATCTAATTCTCCTTGGAGAACCATTACAGTAATCTCGTTATCTGCAAACTGTTGGGACTCTTTTTATCTTCGACCACAGCTTATCTTCATTCTTGCGCAATATCTTCAGTTGTCGGGATGCTCCCGAGCACGTTGGCCGTCTTCTGGGCCATCGTCTTCATCGCAGTTTCAGTTAACGCTAAGGTGATGAGGATCGAGGATGTTCACAAGAACCAGCCGGGAATGGATCCCGAACCCTCCATGATTCAGGTCCCCAAGGTGGTCAAGCCCGTGGTCTGTCCCAAAGGGTACAGGAAGGTAACCATCGCTGGAAGGTCCACCTGCAAAGCCGTATTTAATTGAGGTTTGATTTTTATGATTAATTATTCGTTGTTGAAGTACCTAATTAATAATGCGATTAATAATCCAATACTTTACGGTCAGCTAAATACACTTTTTATCAGGAGTGCCCATCCCCTTTCCCAAGGACTCCTCCCAAGAAATTGTATTGCTCTCTGAAATTTTAGAAAGGGAGAGTGGCATTGGACAAATTTAGATCATATACAAGTACACTTGCTGTGGTCTGTTCCATGTTTTCTCCGGTTCTCAGGTTTGAAAATTTCTTCTAATTGAAACAGGACAAATATATATATATATATATATATATATATATATATATATATATATATATATATATATAATATATATATATATATATATATATATATATTAAAAAAAATAATCATAAAAATAATAATACAGCAATGATGTGCTACCCTCAAGAATTCAAAACCTCATTAAAATTTGGCAAAGTTTTTGTAACTTTTTTATTTGTTTATTATTTACAAAGAAGTTTATCATTAATTTAAGCTCTGCTGTAATGTTGAATAACTGTATTTTATAAGTTCGTTTCTTCATAGAAGACGCATCATATGACGATTATAAAAGAGACACAAAGATTTCTAAAGTTGATTTAAGATTATGAAATATTTTTCCACTATATCATTGCACAGCTAGTATAGCTACAACATTATTTAGATTATAAAATATCAATAATAATTAAAACTAAATTATAAAACCAATATGTGTACTGTAAATGTACAATGTAAAAATCAGAATGTTTTTTAGTTAGGTACTTCATGGTTTAACGTTTTCCAATCGATGATAATGGAAGTATTTAGATTATAAAATACGATTTAACGGAACCCAGATTTTAACACTTTTTTTTTTTAATTTACTTTGATTGCTTTTGTTTTCTTAACACTTCTCGTGAAATCATTTTGAGCTATCCGTTTATTGTATTCATTTGTTTTGGTCAAAATATTTTATAAATTTATCAGTAATAATCTTTTGAGTTATTCAGAATATAGAAAATTTAAATTAAAATTGAAACAGAATTGGCAAGATTATCTATCATGCCTGTCAGCAGTAATGACTTAATTTAAAAAATAATAATATTTAACAAGAGCATGTATTCGTTAAATAGCAGTTTGACAAATATATAAGTACTTTTTGTATTCGTGCGACCTTGTACAAATATTTCATATCACATACTGTAGAAAAATCATCTTTATTCTGGGACTAAATAACAGTATTGTTCATATACATTAATCTTAAATATGGTCAAAAGACTTATTACAATGAATAATAACAAAATACTTGTAATATATTAAGTATTAATTAAGCTCTTAGGATAAATTAACGAGGACAGTTGGGTAATAGGGGTTCAGTACTACAATATTGGAGCTAAAGTAATTGCATAATAATCACTGAATGAAATTATAAAGAAAAGCAAAATCTATTTTATATGTGAATCATTGTAGTGATGGAATATAAAAATTAAAAAAATAATAATAACTGTTAATATGTGAGGAAAGAAATTGTAAAAACTAAAACAAAAAAAAAAATAAATAAAAAAAATAATGATGTACATATGTTCCCTAAGATATTTAAGTGATTATGCGTAAAGATTAGGAGAAGAAAAAATAAAATAAAGTATACATATATATACACACAGCGAGAAGTGTGTTGAAGATAATGAAAATAAAATACATTTCACTGAAATACATTTCATGAATAACAAATTAGGAATTAAAAAAACAAATTTTATCTCTGATGAGATACTGTACTATGATGGATCAGTTTTTCGTTACATATAGATAAGAATTCATTGCTTTTCATGTCATCCCATTGTTATTATATCTGTTATTTATTTATATTAATTCATGTTCATGTAGATTATGGACTGTAATAAATATAATGGAACCGTGGACCTTAAGAAATCTAATAGAATAATTCCCGCTTGATTTCCAGTTCTAGTTCAAACAAACAGAAAAAATAAGGAATTATGTTTTCAAAAAGGCCAGTCACGAGGAAGTTATAGTCAAAAAAGTTCGTTTCTTCAAAAGTCTATAGAACTAGAAAACATAGAGAAGGGGTTACAGTCAATGTAGGAAATAATCGTTCTGTATGGAACTTTTTCTAAAATAACGTATGCGATAACTCCGACAGTTCCTGCTATGTACGCCATCTGTGTTATAATTTGTAGTTATAATATTCTGTGAGCGAGACTCCCCCCCTACCGTTAAGCCCCTATCCCCCACATCTCTATAAATTGCGTATCAATGTGTTCTTTGTAACTATTTATTTTAAAAAAGTCGGTGTTCCTACAAAAAATAGTGAACGCACTGTCCCAAAATAGAGTTCAAACATGGTGGATTTATGACTTCGACTTGAGTTAGTTTTTCAATCACTAAGATTCTGCATTTGGCTTAATTTTGTAACAATTGGGCTATTATCAAAGCTGCATGGTCAGAGAATAATAAAGCATGAAAAAATAATTGATTTAGGCAATAAAAACACTAGTTAAGTTAAGTTTTTCGTTCATAGTAGTTTTCGTTCAAGTAAGTCGTTCAAACTTAAATTGAAAATCAAGCGTTGTTTGTGAATAAACGGACAATAATAACGAAAAGCATTCTTTAATAAAACATCTAGACAATACGTTTTTCTTTCTAAATCAGTGATTAATTTTTATAATTAGAAAATGATACTGGCTTTAGCACCAGTGATGCGGTTGAGAGAGTAGCGCAGGGATCTCTTGGATTCGTGCTTTTCCTTCTATAGTTGAAGGGAGAAGGCTGGGTTGGGGTTACCTGCCTGATTGTATATATTGTATATAGGTATGACTGTTTTTATGTTTTTTAAATTTACTTATCTTTAGGTTATTTTATTTTTTTATTGTATATAGTTTTGATTATTATATTACTTTGGTTAATTTTATATTTTCTGTATATGTGGTGTGAATGTGTTCATATATCACTATAATCTATTGTCTATGTGACAGATTGTTATAATTCTAACTAAATAAACAAAAGAATCTACAAAAAAAAAAAATGATAATGATCATATCAATATCTGTTTTATAAACTAAAATATATACTTTATTTAAATGAAATATAATGAACCGTTACGGGACTGTTTATCGAAAATCATATATCAATAATCAAAAAATTAATTTAATTTCTTATTTATTATTTTCATTCCTGTATTTTGTTCTGAAGTTGAGCCATATCATACACAATGATAGAATTTTCATAATAAATACTTTATTCCATTCATAAGAAAAGAAGGATGGTAATTGAAAGTTGCGTGATGAGCGCAACGCACCAGATTTTTTATTCTAATGCATTTGTCAACACAATACATGTAAGTTTTTAAGTCATTTCACGTTCATACAGAACCATAAAATTAGTGGACACTGAAAGTATTAGAGAGGACAGATGAGACCTTTTCAAGCATAATTTTTTTTTTTTGGGGGGGGGATGGTTATGCTATAGTGATAGTGATTATTTGTAATCTATTGTGAAGATCTTATACCTTCATTAAGCCGTTGAAGAACCAAGAAAGATTACGTAGACCAATAATACTCCAATTATACTTGGAATACAAGGTCGGGAACTATAAACAGCAAAAGAAACAAGAATCATCTTCTTAGGTTTTGGGTGACCTTGAGGGTCCCTACCCCAGCCGCCAGTCCGCTCTGGAGCACTGAGGCGATATGCTCTTCTGGCTCTGCTGTGTCATCTTGATCCTGGAGCAGTCCTCTGCCTCAGGGATGGAGGTCATCAACGGGACGGAAATTGACAACAATACTGACATCGCATCTCCATCGATATTCCTAATTCCAATAATCAATAAGACGTGCCCAGAAGGTCAGAAACCTGTTGGATGCCAACTCCCAAGCTGCTGCAGGCAGGTCTTTGATAATTCAGGTATGCAATATCGGACAGTTTGTATCATTTGTAATCCCTTGGTGGTTATTTATTTATTTATTTTTTTGTTGGTTCTACCAAGTAGGGTCTTCGCCATAACATCTAACTTAGACTCTGTAATATAGTTTAACTATTTTCCGAAATTCAAAAGTTTTCTTCACCGCTTTACCGCAGTCGTTCAAAATTTCATTTAGGCTTGGTCCTATTCAGTTTTAATATAGTATAGTCTTGAATAATATATTACTGATATTTAATAGCTTAAAAAAAGAAAAGAATATAAGAATAATTCCCCACAGGTATAACTCGTACGCCGTTTGTCATATCCCAGATAATCGTACGGAAAAAAATAAATCGTATGGACTGCAGGTTATTGAAATCAGGCACCCACCAGAAAGGAAAGAAAGTAATGGATTATTAAATTTGTATTTTTTCAAGTTAAGAAAATTTTATAGTTGAAATATTCACGAAACAAAGGACATTATTAAAAATTATAATTTATTTATTGTTTTTTTTTTCTACCAAGCAGGGTCATTGAAAATACCTTCAACTTAAATTTTGTTACAGAGTTTTACAGGTTTTTCGAATCCAATTTTTTGTAACAGATTTTTGACTTTTTTATTTTTCCTCTGTGTTTATGAATATAGAACAGTCTGGTAAAACATTTTTAACTGCTCTTTATACATTACTCATCTCTGAGGTTGAAGGTTCATGTTTTTTTATAGTAATAGGGAAGCTAGGAATGCTCTATTGTTAATCGGCATAGAATCTCTAGGGCCTCCTTTTTTCTATTCAAAACTTTAAAATTTGAAAATATATTCACTTATACTGGTATAATCTCCATTAAAAACGTAAAAAAAAAAACGCCGATTTGAACTAATGATGTTCTATTGATCTATCCCAAAATTCAATTGTTCTAGTAATTGACAGAGGGTCGGTACCAGGAATAGACATACCTCAGAAAAATTCTAAAATCTTTATACAACTATAAAGATAATGATGAAAATTAGGTAACATAAATGTTCAACTTAATCTTAGGAAAACTGTCAGTAGAAAGGTTCAGAACAACGAACATTTTAAAATTCTCTTTTTGAA